TTTATTTATTTAAATTTTTAAAATGCAATCTCTACCTCCAACGTGGGGCTCGAACTCACCACCCCAAGATCAAGAGTCACATGCTCCACTGACTGAGCCAGCCTTGCACCCCCTAAATGTGCCCTTCTAATGAAGATTATGTAACTGAACTTGTCTCCCTTTTCATTGTGACTGGCAGTGAAATAGGTCAGATTTAGACTTATTACACAAATGTGTAACCCCTTATGGACAACATGTATGTTCTTCTTTCCCTTGAGTTTTTATTAATCTTTCTCTGATTCTACTTGTTACTATTTTTCTGTTACTTTCATCAGTGTTGTTTTTTTTTTTTTAATGAACTCTTTGTGAAACAATGTAGGGTATCAATAAATAAATGAAAATGACCTCTTAGACTGGAATTTGAACAGAGTTTATTGTCCTTAATTATGCTTTGTGTTTTTATAAAGCAAATCTGAAATAACTTCCTCTCAAGTTTGGGAAAGCAGTCCTCCTGGAAAGAATCAGTGCTATTTTACACAATGAATAGTCTAAATAAGTCCTGAATATTTGCTGCTAATTTGCTTGGCACAACTTTTATTCAAAGATAGTGTAAAGATAAGCATCAGCTTATCACACCAAATTAGAGGGATCCAATTAACAAGACTTGACTGCAATTCTGGGCAGTGGAGAAAGAAACCCCACTACAAAAAAAGGACAGTGGAGAAAGAAACCCCACTACAAAAAAAGGACAGTAGAGCAAAATAATCCTCTGGAATGATTTAGATTGGAGAAGCTGGACCTTTTTCTTATCGTATAGCAGAAACCTTTATTTTCTGCTGGTGCTTTGGAGTGTGCTCCAACTTCTGGAGAAGGTCTTTCTGTTGGGTTCTTTAAAAAAATAAGTGCTGTCTTTTTACTGCTATTTTCCTTTTGTGGACAAACGTGATCAGATTTTCAACAAACGAGGTGCCATTAAGAAGGATTAAATATCAGTGGTTTTGTACTGCTCTGCTAAACTTAAACTGCTGAATTATTCAACACTTTGGTAGAATGAAGAAAACCATTTGAATTATTTATGTTTCAACAGAAGTAGTGCCCACCTTAGTACAAATGGGGTATCCTCTTTCTCAGGGAAGACCAGACCATCTGTAATTCAAGGTACAGTTGAAGTCCTAACCTCTTTAATGCAAGAGCTACAAAACAGTGGAAGGACTGATTCGGAACTTTGGAAAAACTGTGAGGTATCTAGTTTTGTTTTATTTGTGGAATTTTAAAAAATATATTTGTAAATGTGTCTCTACTAAACTCTAAATTATTAGAAATTTATATCCTAAAGAGCATGATTCTTATTGCTAAAGTGGTCAAATACAGTAATTGGGGAACAACATTGAACAAATATGAAAAAGATGATCAAGAGTATGTTTGAACAAATATTAGGGATTGGACACTAATTTACATTTTAAATGTCAACTAAAATATTAGCTTTGTTCAGAGAAGTGAGAGTTCTAAAATTATTAATATTGTTACTAATTCTAATGTTTTAAGTAACAGAATTATCATTTTGAAAAACCTAAATCCTCTTTAAAATATTTTGAATGCTCTACTCATAAATTAAGACTTCTATTTGTAATGCCTTATCACATTTAGTTGTGATACATTGAATTATATTGATTTTTCAGAATTGTGTTTCTCTGGTCCATAGGTTAAACTGTGATATAAAATTTAGCAGTTAAAAGAATACATATATGTAAATTTTGTTTCACAGAATAATGCCCAAGTTAGATTTTTCCAAGGCTAGATTTGGTAGTACCTTATAAAAATGTATAAAACATTATTATTATTAAATTCTTTAGGGAACAGTAAATTTTATTAAATGTATTTTTTCTTAAATTTTGAAAAATATTTATCACACTTTTAAAACCATTATTTGTGTTATTTTCAAAATGTATAAGTGGAATGAAAGAATACCTGCTTTAAGGATTCAGTAGCAGCCACCCCTGCGTAATTTTTTGTATTCATTATCCATAATCATTGAAGTTATAAAAATGACTGTTATTGCAGAAAATTAGAAAATTGAGTTTTGGGCGCCTGGGTGGCTCAGATGGTTAAGCGTCTG